TTTAGGAGTCATATTTACCCCGAGACTCTCTTGGACAAAGCACTTCCCTTGGAAAGCGTCAGTGGCTAAATTAGGTCTAGCACATGGTCAGCGTTCTTACTTAATGAAACTATCACTATTAAAGTCAAGTTTAATATTTTTAAGGCGATTAAATTCTGTGTTATGGCACACATGATATACCAGAGGGAGATACCAGAGGTTCGAAACAATAGAAAAAGTGCAACGTTTTTTTTGTAAGATTCACATTGCCATCTCGTACACCAAACTATATATTACATTTAAAGACCAACATGGATTTAATTTTGGTGTATACACTTAAGCTTCGCTACTCCTATATTGTGAAAGTTCTGAAGTCTCCCGATACTAGTACTCAAAAATAACATCTTTGGCGGTAAAAAAGAGGAATATTTAATGGTTCGCACACTGGAAATATTTGTTTGAAAAGTACAACTTGCCCTTCCTCCTCCTTGGACAACCTCCGTGACTGGCATAATTATTTTTCAGTTCTTATCAATCAAATAAAAACAACACGAAGAATACCGGTCATGTGTCCAAGCATCTACGCATCTTTCACTTTACAAGGAGGTACAATTTTCTCCTGCATTGTTCCACCTACATGAAGATAATTTTGACGGTCTTTGTCTCAATGAGTTGCGATGGCTATTTAAGCTAAGAAGTGAGGTTTTGCACTTAAACTGGGCCGTTTGGATCAGAGGGGAATTGGGAATCTGTTCTTTGTGTAATTCGCGCTCTATTGAAACTGTATCCCACTTCTTGGCGGAGTGCTCATCCTTGGGTGAGATTCGGTTATTGCATCTCGGATGTTTCGCTCTCCCCAGAGTTGACCTGTTACGGTTTTTGAATGGCTCAAATTCGCGGCCCTTAATTCGTTACGCTAGGCATGCATGGAACTGCAGATATGAGTTAATTAAGGAATTTAATTTTTGATTTGTATTGTATAACCTGTTTTTCTATTCTCTCTTTCGCATTTTAACAGTTGTTATTTTTCCTTTTTTTTTTCAATTTATTTCCCAGGCTAAACTTTTATGTTACTTTATTGTGTATTTTTTCGTTTCTGATGGTTTAACCAACGACCTCTGGCAGACGGATCCAAGATCCATGTCCTTAAATGCTTTGAAATCACAATTGTCATGTTTCTTTTTTTGAGTTCAATAAACATTATTATTATTATTATTATTTACTTTTATTTTTTTTATTTTTTTGCCTGGGGCTTCCGACATCTAGGTCATTTCAGCCTCCAACTAAGTCTATATTCTATTAACCCTTTCACACACTACATTCATACAAATAAATACATCCACACTGTACACTCATTCCGTTTGGTGGGTGGAGTACTTGATATTCCTCCACCGACCTATACTTAAACTAAACTAGATTGGGGTCGATGGAGTACTTTTATAAATATTCCACCATCGACCCCGAACACACANTAAAAAAGTGAATGGCACGAGCGGGATTCGAACCCACGATCTTCGGCTAGATACGCCGCTGCTCTACCACTTGAGCTATCGTGACCTCAATCCACTCGGACACCAACTTCCCATCTCAACCACACCTTTTGAATTTTTCCTCCTTTTTGCCATTTTTCATGACGTGTAATCGTCAAATGTCGTGTCGGATTGGATTCTCGGCGACAAATGAAATGGCCACGGAGAGCTTTAGTGAAGTATACTTCATTTTTAATTCATTAAAATCCCGCTCGTGCCATTCATTTTTTTTATCTCAACTAAAAACCTTAATTATTGTAATTATTTAAAATGTTTTTTTGGCATTTACGTTGTAAGAGAGTTGAACAGTCTTAATATTTAATTAGCAAGAACGAATTTTGGGGTTAGAACGAATTTATCAAACATTGGGAATCGAACCAGATTGATTTGTCTGGTCTAACAACTTTTCTTTCCCACGGGATAGATCGATCTTCATTTTTTTTAAACATAAACCATTTAATTATTTTATATTCAATACTCACAAGGTGTCAATGGTTATCAATAATAAAAATAAAACGTTAAGATTTAATGAACAAAGAACTTCGAAAAAAGTGAAAAACAAAGGCGTTTTAAATTTTCGGTGGATTGTAAACGATAATACCCTTCTCAGAAAGTATTTATGTCCCACAAGGCGAACGCCTGTGACCTAATCGTGGGAAGAGCTCATTATACACGGGTGTACATTGTTATAGCGCATCTTAAAGTAAAACTTTTCTGTCCAGGAACGTTGCCGAGTTAAACTGGTGGGACGATTAAAGACTCGACAACCGTTTTGTATAATTAGAAGAACCGTTTGAACGCTAGATTCGATTACTTAACTTCATCAAAATAGGTTTCGCCTAGAAAACTCAAAATTTAATTAGCATTATTGACACAAATTCCAATAGAGGACGAATAGCTAAGCATTTCTTTTATAATAAAATGTAAATAAGGTAAGGCAAGTTCACAAAAGAAGCAGTAATCAAACATCCATTGCACCTGAAACACATTCTATGCTGATAGAGGAACTGAAGGACTGAAGAAAGGGTCTTACACTTATCTATATCAAGTAGTCCATAAGACCTATTTAAGTAGAGGAAGAGTGAGGTACGGTACCACACTACTCACGTTTTCTCTTCTATTAGAGATTATAATAAATAAATATCGCGTAAGGTTTTAAATCCGTCATTCCATTTTGAAATAGAACGGTACTGGTAGCAGGTTCCAACTCGAATGCCAAATGGGAACTGTCTACTCTTCGTTCTGGTAGATCTTTTGACCTGCCCTGAAGCGGTTCCTCTGATGGCATTGACGTGTCCTATGTACGTCTTCGCTAACTCGGCCATCGCTGACGCCAGCTTCGTTCTCGAAGCGATCATTTCCGAGGAACGAGAAAAACAACAAACGATAACAAAATACAAAGAACCAAAAATTTCTTCGCCTTCCGGTGATTTATTACCCTTCAAAGTCAACATTCAGGTCCTGCTTGGCAGCTTTAGTGACGCCAGAAAGCCTTCTAGAAGTAGTTCATGTCGTCTTCTGGGAAGAGATCTCATAATCACATTTTCAGGCATCCTTTGATTCATAGAAGCTGTATCGTGGGATGGCATCTTTATAAGTTCGTCGATGCGTTTTCTACCCAGATCTTGATCTCATAGCAAATAATTTAGAGTCAAAATAGGGGATGGGATGACCTCATCTTCATGGACAGTGGTATTTAGTATTTCTAAAGTGAACTTGCCCATCTTGACATCCCAAATCCTCACAAATACGTCTTTGAGCAGCACATATACGGGGTAAGTTCGAACTCGATGACCCCTGTCAACTGGGTAAGTGTGTACTGTCCAGTTTCCACTCCGCCTCATAGTTCATGCTGCTGGGTAGATCTTCTGGCCCTCTGTCCTGCCCTCTACATTCGCCCAGGAGCCACTCCACTCATGGATATGTAACCTAACTCTACCTATAATCCTAACCCTACCTAAGCTAACCATGCGCATTCCCCGGTAACGCGAAAATGGTCTAAAACAATGCGTGAATCTAGCCCAAAAATGTATCCATCTAACTCATGCCCGGCAAGCGGGCCTTGAGGAAAATCATAATCCCCTCACCAACCTCATTAAAATTAGTAAATATAATAAAAAGACTTTTGAGTACATGTCTGTGAAGCTCTATCCTGTGTGCAATACCACCACTGTGAAAAGGTATAAAAAGGCAGTAACAACACCTTAAGAAAGTAGTGAAACCTTGGAAAGTTCACCAATTCCTAAAATAAATGGCACTTTTTAATGATGTACGCATAATGTAACGTCAAGCCTCAATCAATTTCGTTAGAACATAGTGACAGGGAAGTCCTTAATGATTCACTACTCTGGTGATCCAGAAAACCAAGATTTAGGTACAGTCAAATTTTCTAATTGTATCTGACACCAAAACTAGCTATTTAATATTTAGAGATGCTTAGGCAACAGGCCAAATGAAAATAAAGATTTAGTAAAATGAAAATAAAAATTAGATGTAATTTAAGGGGAATTTGACATACTGCACTATTTGATAGCTATTGTATCCTCTGTTCTGACTTACAGCACTTGTAAGGGCATCCACTTCTTTTTTCCTCTGCATCTACCCAGTAGAGAAGGATTTTGTTTTGTTTTTTACACCTAATATTTTTAGTTTGGTTTGCTATTCCAATACTCTACTACTCAATTAGTGAGATTTGAGTTTAATCTGGCATTATAGTTATACATTTGTTTTCAAATCCTACGTTTAAATTGAAGTACATGAGGAATAAATTGAGAAACATCTTTCAATCCATGGATTTTGCCTCGAAGATACTGCTGTACTTGCCTATCTAAATATTGGGTTTTGGGGGCAGATATTTCTGCCACTCTACCTTCTTGCATCCTCGATCCATTGGTGGACCAACAGATAGTTCTACCTTGACTGAGAGTTTCTGTTCCTTTTCCCCCCTCCTTGTTGGTACTTCATCTGGAAGTTTTGTTTTCATTTAGTAACCTTGAGCATCAAATAATCCCTCATTAGGGTGTTCTTGCCCTTCCATTTAAGTTGTTATCTTCTTTATCGATGTTAAGCAGTTTTCTTTTCTATCCACATTGTTTTTTTTTTGCTTCTTTTTTTTGGAGGGGGATTAGGCCCAACATTATCTCCATACCAGCTTTGGAACAGTCTCACTGTTCAGTACCCACAGTACTCGCTTGAGTATCGCTCCAGTGATACAAATAAATGCAAGCCTCTGTATTTTTGTTTATGGGGATAGTTTAACCATCATGGTCATACCAGAAGAATATCTGGTCTATACCAAGTTTTTACTTTATATCCTTCTACACATCATCAATGTACAAATATATTCTCTAAAAGCCAGTGTTTCGTCTTGTAACTCCTTGACATTTGGCTTCATTTTTCAACTTGTGCTATTGTTTACTTATTTACTATTACTATTAAGTCTTATTTGTTTAATGTTTAATTCACACTTTTAATTTGGGTTTGTCTTTACAGGTGGTGATAGTTGGAAATGGCGCTGTTGGTAAATCTAGCATGATCCAAAGATATTGCAAGGGAACATTTACCAAAGACTACAAAAAGACAATAGGAGTTGATTTCCTTGAACGCCAAATTGAGTAAGTACAATCGGTAATGAAATATAAACCTTTTTTCTTGATTTACTTTTACAATTGAATAATTTTTAGGTGTGAAGGTGAAGAAGTTAGATTAATGCTATGGGATACTGCAGGACAAGAGGAATTTGATGCCATTACAAAGGCATACTACAGAGGAGCACAAGCATGCGTACTAGCATTTTCAACTACAGATAGGGACTCATTTGAAGCTATTCAGTCTTGGAAAAAAAAGGTAAAGTTAATAAATTAATTACACTTTATTGAGTGGGGTTTTTGGTGGCTCTGCGAAAGGCCAGTGTTGTGTGTGGAGCTGTTGGTTCAAGTCTGTAGACTGGTGTAGCGATAGTTGGTAGCAAGTGAATGGCTAGTGCAGCGGTAAGAGTATGAGAAATGATTCTGCGAGTACCTTGTTGTTGTAGTTAGTGCTGACAGCTTGCGCCATTAGTGAGAGTTATTGAGATCTCATCAATGAATCTGTATTAAGCATGTTGAGCTCCTGCTTATATACAGAGCTACTGCAAGCTCTTTGGCTACAGCGTGGAAAGCGAAACCATTGATGAAGCAATGGTGACACCTAAGGTAACCACATAGCTCCCCAATGGTTGACCCTCTTCAAGCAGCAGGCCTATGAAGTGAAGAATGGAGTGTTCTTTGCAGCTCGTTCCTCCAAGTCCCTAAAAATCTTCTCAGAAACATCATCACGACGAGCAGTCGTCATTTAGTGACCAGGGTTTGGCCGGTGTTTTGTGTGGAGCTGTTGGTTGAAGTCTGTAGACAGGTGTTATAGCGATAGTTGGTAGCAAATGAATGGGTCATGCAGCAACGAATCTCATTGAGCATGTTGAGCTCCTGCTTATATACAAAGCTGCTGCAAGCTCATTGGCTGCAATGTGGAAGGCAAAACCATTGTTGAAGCCATGGTGTCACCTAAGGTGGTTACCACATAGCTCCCACATGTTATAGCGAAAGTCGGTGGCAAACGATAGGTCTAGTGCAGCAGGCAGCCTCTTCAGCTGTTGATAGTAGTGCAAGAGATGATCCTGATTGTGATTGTGGAAATCCCGATTTTAATATCTAAAAGAAATAAATTAGTTTAAAACAATTTAGGCTGTCCACAAGTTGGATTAATTGTGTCTTCTGTGCGTCTTAATTTTTCTATTATTATCTGTCATTTTATGAAACATGATTGCAGTAATTTGTTAAAAATTAAACACAAAATTTCATACTTAACATTTAATTATAACAGTTATTCAATAACACGTTTCAGGTGGAAGATGAATGTGGCGAAATCCCCACTGTGCTAGTTCAAAACAAGATAGACTTGATGGACCAAACTGTAGTAGACCCGTAAGTACATCTTGAAAAAATTATATTAATTTCCTTTAAATTTTAATCACCAAAACTGTGCAGGGAAGAAGTAGACCTCCTCTCCAGAGCCCTTGGGTGCAGGCTGATGCACACGTCAGTAAAGGAAGACGTAAATGTTAACGCCGTATTTCGATATTTAGCATCTCGGTGTTTGGCTGAACTAAGGAGAGAAGATGAAGAATATAATTTGAGTCCAAATGGACTACATCCACTTACCATATGTAAGCAAAAAAAAAATCTCTTTAGTATACTAAATTAAGATTTAGGACCATGTAAACAAAGAGACACTAAATTGTCAGGTTTGGTCTATTTTTCATGAAACAAAAACTTTTGATCCAACCCTCCAGGATAATGAAATACTTAGCTATTTCAAATGTCAAGATTCTTAACAATAACAATTAATTAAGGTTTTTAGTTGAGATAAAAAAGTCAATGGCACGAGCGGGATTCGAACCCACGATCTTCGGCTAGATACGCTGCTGCTCTACCACTTGAGCTATCGTGACCTCGATCCACTCGGACATCAACTTCCTATCTCAACCCCACCTTTTGAGTTTTCCCTCCTTTTTTAACTCAAAGAGAGGGGGGGTTGAGATAGGAAGTTGATGTCCGAGTGGATCGAGGTCACGACAGCTCAAGTGGTAGAGCAGCAGCGTATCTAGCCGAAGATCGTGGGTTCGAATCCCGCTCGTGCCATTGACTTTTTTATCTCAACTAAAAACCTTAATTAATTGTAATGTATTAATTGGTCAAGCGGACCACGAAATTAGTGAATTTAATTCTTATCAATGTACATTTTTTTAAAGATGTTTTGATAGTGATTTCAATGGTGTAAACAATTTTTATTTAGAGCAACTATTCTCAAGTTATTCACAAAAAATCTCATCCGAACTTTTTTCAGATAAATGAAATCTTTTCCAACTTCTTCAACCAATCTCCTATTTGGAGAATATTTTGTTTAGCAGAAAAACAGCGTTTGGTACATTTTTTCTTTTTGGTGAATATCAAGAACACTTGCTCCATATTTTAAAAAAAATTTCACAACATTGAAATTAGCAAAAAAAAACCTTTCAAAAAATGTACATTGATGAATATCACGCCTTTAAATAGCTAAGTTCAACTTTTTTTTTATTCAGGTTTTTGGGGATGCAAAAATGGATATTAATTTTGTTACTTGCTAAAAAAATTATTTTAAACTACTTCGCTAAGTCGCTCGGTTGCTGTCAAAATTTTATTTACCAGTTAGCAGCGAACATAATTTGTGATAGAGCCCCAATAAAAATAATACAGGAGGGCTAACATCCGACTACCTGTTGGTTGTCACGGACAAGGAGTCAAACCACTTTGCAATACATTTCTCAAACCATTATCAATTAAAAAGCCATGGGCTCTGCTTGATTCGAACCCTTGACCGTCAGCATGCAAATACGAGTCTGACATCCTAACTGCTTGGCCATTGCAATTACCTCAGAAGTTAAACTTACCCCTTGTATACTGAAGTTAAATATTTAATAGTGAATATTTTCAATATATTTTTTTCCAGGTGCTTTTGGTCCTACTGGTGCACATAACGCTAAATCACACTACGGAAACGGAACTATAGTCTTACGATCAGGAAAAAATAAGTCTCGAAAGAAGAAGAACGTATTTAAAAACACCTGTAAATTATTATAACTAATTTATGTAAAGAAATAATGTGACAATAAGGTATCATTTCAAATGTAAATATAAGTCAATTTTAGGCTATATTACTTTTTAATTAGATTTGTACATTAAAAATGAATAACTTTGTTTACAAAATGATAAGTATCACACTGGTTATTTAATGTAATATAGGAAATGCAATTTGTACAAGAATACTGTATACAACCTATGTAATATCTTCACACTTGTCAAATTTTTCATGTTTAAGTAACTGCATTTATCTATTATAAAAATAAAAAAAAATTGATGAAAAAATCAGAGCTGTTTCATAGAAAGTTGTTACCGCCTTTTAAGATAAGAGAAACAAATGATTCTTGCAAGTGATAAAAGGTTAATTACACATATATTAAAAACATTAAGCAAATGTACCCAATTGTTATTGTTTTACCTTGTAAACCTTTTCCCGTTTATGAAAATATGATTATTTTGGCCCTACTCTAATTTTACTTGTTTAAATGCTTTGACAAAATTAATTTCACAAGAAATTAAATAAGAACTATGCAGAATACATTTTTTACACCTTAATTTGTGATTGATTGATACAGCAAGTATGAAAGATGAAATTTTCATTTCTCCCCTGGGCGGATTTCTCAGTACTTTAACATTTACTTTATGGAATGTTGGATTAAGAATATAAATCAACATTTTTATAAATTGAAATTTATTTATTACAATTATGAAACCATTTCTTTTCTCATTTTATAACGTGAATTAACACAATTTACATGATTATTAGAAATACATGAAGCCATAAATTCAATAACATCAATATTTTCAAAACTAAATTGATTTTATGGCAGAGCTAGGTGAAAATCTAATTATCAAAATTATGAAAATAACTGTAATTTGCTAATTGTTGATATGCTGATATAACTTTAATTGAAATTTTCATTTTACACAAGGCAGGATCCATTTCCCATTCTTCTAGAAGCCATTTATTTATTTTTGGACTTTTAATTCAACAGTATTCACAAGCTATAACAATCTATTAATTAGGTACAAAATATCAATGTTAATAAGTATAAGCATCGCTATGAAGAACCTCATCCTATTGGTGGAAGTACAATATGAAGATACCTGTGGAGAACGTTTCCTTAAAATAAAAACGTTGGATTATACTGCAATACCGTTTTAAAAAAAAATAATAGTAATAATTCCAATAATGAAAGAAGTAATTACATAACAAATTTATTAAGGTAAAATTTAAACAAAACAAATACACTTTTACATATTTATATTTGTTTGAATAAATGCTGTATTTTTAACTTTTGAACCAACGGGTACTGGATGTCAAATGTCTACATAAACAAAATTAAATGTCACAACATGGATTAAATGAACCAAACGATTTTTTTTTTTAACAACAAGGCATCAGGAAAGTTCTTTTGTTTAAGTTATAATGAACAAAAAACAATCAATTATTATTCAAACAAAATAGCTACTTTTAATCAACAACTGTTATTATTCAGTCTGAATCAAAATTTGAAAATTTTACATTGAGAATAATAATTGCTTATAAATTACTGGTCTAATTTTGGCAGCCCAAGAATTTACAATTTTATTTATTGTGTAGCCACTGAACTGTAGTGCTATTAGTATGTTTATATATTTTAGAAAGTAAATTGTTTCTTAGTTTGATATTTATTTTTTTTTGTTTTTATTTTTTAATTTTTATGAACAAATATGAACAATTTTTTCCAAGTAGAAGGGTATTCCATTATATAAGTAGTCACCATACAGTGTGTTCAAATTATCACCAAATTTATATATATTATATATATAAAAACTAATGGAATAATAATAATAATAATAGACAAAAGACTGCATAATTCAGTCAATATTGTGATAAATGAAATAAAATAATCTAATTCTACAAATAAATTAAATTTATGTTAACCATTTAAATATATCACGACTATATAATCAACCATAAATTTATATTTTACACGTCATGGCCGGATGCTATTCATTCATACTGTTTATTGCCAAATATTCTAATGTATTCTTGGAGCTGACCGATCATTGACTGTTCTTGTTTTCCGTAAAGAAGTCCCTTTTTTTATTTGATCCATGAGCGAATCATGACAAACAGTTGGATCAGGGAGTGTTCTAACTGCGATCCATTGTCTTACTCTACTGGCCTTGGCGTATGTCATTTCCTGAGAGTGTCTCCTGCCAGGGGCCAGCTTTGCGCTTAATGCGGCAATAAGGCTCGGTTCTATTTTCCGATCGGCTGATTGAGAACGCATACTGTGTGTCCTGCGAATGGATACGGGACTGGCAGGAGTGTGATTTAATTCTGTAAGGGTGCGTACTGTTTCTGCGACGCTGATGCCGCAGCTTTGATTTTTTATATCACTTGGCAGTCTCTTTTCTTTCATCGTCAATTGTACTGTTTTACGCTGTAGTTCGGCGGCGATTCCCATTGCTGCAGTCCTTTGGTACTCGCTCGCCTTCTTCGAGGACAATTCGAGTGAATTGGTTTTTGACGATTCGGTATAGGAACTTTCCAATAAATAAGCAGGTGGAGGAGGAAGGCTTTCATTGCTGCCAGAATTTTCCGGTGAAAATATTCCATAGTTCGCTTGAGAATTTCGGATGGACATGGAGATCGATGATGTCCGTCTAATGGGGGGAGGAGGTTTTTGGCCTTGAACTGAGCTACGTCTAAGTAACGAATTCCTTAAAGACCCTGTACTGTAAACTAAAAAAATATAACAATTATCAATTCAGTAACAAAATAAATCAAAAGGTTTAATTATTTTAATTTAACAACAAAAATTCTTTAAGTCCTTCTGAGACAATGGACCTTAGAAGCCAAGAAAAAAACTTTTTTCAAGTTTTTTAAAAATATTTTTATTGCTTTCTGAACTTGTCAAAGCATGGAGATGGGGGAGAGGAGCCAGCCATTGCTGGAACTTTCAATGTATTGTTGTTTAAGGTTTAGGGTTTTGTTAGGAGGTCATCGTCTTTTTAGGCAGAGAGAAGTTTGGTGTATTTTAAGGGGGACGTTGAAGAAAGGGCTTGAGCTAGTGGATTGGTGTGGAAAGAAAGCTTGGATTGGGAGTTGTGGAATCACGTCCACCATGATTGGGATATCAAGGTCTTTGTGGATAAGATGGTTTGGTTAGTGGGAAGAGATCATTGAGGATGTAATGGAGGACTTTTGATTGAAAGAATTGGATTGTTTGGACATTGGATTGCTTGGCTGAACCCCATAGCTCGATTTCATAAATCCAAATCAGTCTAATTAGTGTCTCATAAACAGTTAGTTTGCTGTGTTTTCATGGTGGATTTCGGTCCAAGTAGATATCTGAGATTCCCGTATATCTGATTCAGTTCTCGTTTATTTGTTTTATGTGTGTGTGTACAAATTAAAACCAGATTTAAAATCAAAGTTTGAGGTGTTTTTATTGATTTTATCCTTTACATTTTTCATTTGTAATGACTTTTTCTAAATTTTTATGACATAGCCTGAAATTAAAACAATCCACCTTACAGTTATCATAAATTCACTAATTTCGTGGTCCGCTTGACCAATTAATATGTTACAGTTAATTAAGGTTTTCAGTTGAGATAAAAAAGTCAATGGCACGAGCGGGATTCGAACCCACGATCTTCGGCTAGATACGCCGCGATGGGGGTTGAGATAGGAAGTTGGTGTCCGAGTGGATCGAGGTCATGATAGCTCAAGTGGTAGAGCAGCGGCGTATCTAGCCGAAGATCGTGGGTTCAAATCCCGCTCGTGCCATTGGTTTTTTTACCTCAACTAAAAACCTTAATTAATTTAAGTTATAAAGTTAAATTTGGACACAATCTACAAGGTAATGAATTTTTAAGTGAACAAGACACCGGGGAAAACAACTGCCCTGGGCCATAGTCCTGCCCAAAAATGTCTATTTTTTGGTTACCATAAAAAAGGTATTTATAAGCTTTAGAGGGTACTAAACCCGATTTTTTTTTTTTTTTTTTTTAAGAAATTTCTTTTTCACTTACTGGAAAGGTCTTTTCATTTTTGTTTTGTAACTTTTCATGTATATAATTCATTTAATACACTTTCTTATCGTAGATTAAAAATTTCAATGATTATGTAGCAACCTACTATCATAAAAGATTTCAATTAATTAACTTTTCCTGCGCTCCTAGAATCCATTGACAAAAGCTCTCGAACAGAGTCTATTATTTTTCAACCTACATAACCAAAAAAAGTTTCAAAATCAACTGAAATTTACATTTACTTATTATTACAAATGATACAACGGGAGAAAAAATGAATGGTCTCTATGAGGGATGTAAATAAAATAAAATAAATGTCATAAATAAAAATAAAAACTCAAATATCTTTAAGAAAATACAAAAAGTACAAATTGAAAACTAAAGATCAGAAAATATAAAAGAAATGTTCAATAATAAGAAGAGTGGATTTACTTTCATTCTGGGAATTATCCTCTTGTGTTGCTGATTGTATAATCTGGCTACCATAACCACTAGAAGACTCTAAAGAACTTTCTGATGTGCTTCCATCCTTCTCATTAGTATCATTCTGAAAATAGACAATTTATTTAATGAATATCTTAAACATAAAACACACTATCATAGAACAAAAATATAAATTGTATAGACCAAAAGAAAAATAGATACATTACAAGATTTTTGTTCAAACGATTTTTGTAATTAAAGATTGCAAAATTTATTTCCTAGCTGGAAGAATTTGAATAATTATATAGTTTTTAGTGATTCACACCTTTTCATTTTTTTTATTTGCTTCGGCTGGTGCTTCTTGTGATGGTGGAGGAGGTGGTGGAAAGTTCATTTCTTGGGCTTTGCTAGCAGCTAGGCTTGCCAACTCATGCATGTTGACGTACATAGGTTGAGAAGTCTCAATTCCTAAAAAAATTTACTTAATAGTATTTTACATTCTGTATTGGACAAATACAATGGAACCATAAGAAGAAGATACCTGCATGTTGTAGAACTGATTGGGTGATGGAAGCATTGTGCGGCCTTGTTTTAGATGATGGAAGGGATGGCCTTTCAAGGGAAGAGCATCTATTAGGGATTGGCGGACGAGATGAAATTGTGGATGGCTGAGGCGATGCAATGGGTGTGGCACTGCCACTGGCTTCAGTAGGCACAGGACTAGAAGGTTGTGAAAGTGAACTTTCAGGAGCGTGAAAAGTATAAACTGTTAATGACGGCCTTTGGTGTCCCTTTTCGTAAGCTAGATGAAAAATACAATTATTGAAATCTGGTTATATGCCCAAGGTGAAATTTCAAACCTGTTGATATAGTATGCGGACGCTCGTTCATTATTGCAGTTGCTGCTCTTTCAAATTGAAGGGTTTCTTGTAAATTCGGCCATGTGGCCGTCGGGTTAGTTCCTGTCGTATTAACACTACCAGCACTACCACAGGGCGTACTGACATTACTTCCACTGCTCTGCTCAAAAGCACTAGGAACCTGAAATTGTTTGACAATTTATTGTCAGAGGTTAAGTCAAAATATGTAATTAAATACAATTATCAGTTTGAAATAAAATATTAAAAAAATGAACCGAAAATAATCTTTAGCCACATGAAATTAGTAAATGATTAACTGTCATGTTTATAATAAAAAAAAAAAAACAGAATGGTTTAATATTTCTGAGTAGTGACATTTCAACAAAATATTAATAACAATTTGAATTTGCTGTACTTTTATTCATTAAACGTAGTATTAATAGTATTTGACTTTTTTTTAATTTTGTCTGTTTTTAAGAGGGTTCGCAACAGTAGAGGTGATATCAACCCTCGGGGTGTCAAGTGTTTTTGAAAAAAAGCCCATTTCTAAGTATGTCTGGTTTGAATGCAGGACTGCTGGATTCGAACCCAGGACCTTTACCTTAGCGCCATGTCAATGTCAAAACCAATGACACCCCTTTAATTAAGCATTACTATGTAGATTAAAAAAATTCATCAGCACAAATATACAGGTAATTTTTTAAATTAAAGCTAAGCAATAATTTGCAGAAAAATTTAAAAAATTTATTTCACATAACAAAGATGTGGTTGATTGTATTATGAAAGCCAAATCTTTAATTTGTATTAGCATAGTCGGCAAAATATATAATATAATTATTTTTAAAGTCAAAACTAATCGTAATACTTCTATGAATTTATAGAATAATTAAGTTCTTTGAACTATTGATAGATGACTAAAAATAATTGGCAGCTTGAATGAAGCCAATGTGATTGCTTATCAGGAAAAACAAAACCTACTTAAGTTGGCATTTGCAATTTGGTACAAATAATAAAAATGATGTGAATGTAATGCATGCAAAAAAAAAAAGTATTTGACTTAACTAAGTTGTTTGAGTGCAGTTGACACATTTAATTTTGTAGTGGTCAAATTGTAAATTCATAACACAAATAATTACCAACCAGTTGTGGTTTACGCCAAGTTGGGCAGTTGTCAATGAAGAGGACAATAGGTGTAAATGGAAAATATTTATGAAAACTTGTAATAACCTGCCAATTTATCAGCAAAAGAACATTTAAAGTTTTTTGATATTATGTATATACTCAAAGTAAAAACACCCCAAATATAAAATATACTGATGGTTAATATTTACTAAATTGTAATTCAGCCTCAAATATATCTTTATCTTTCTTCTATTAAGAATTTAAAGCTGTATATTTTTTTTTTATGTTACTAAAAAAATAACAGCGAAGAGTTGAAAAATTAGAACTTTAAATAAATTGAAAGTAAACATAATTATAGATTCAAAAATTTATACAAAGACAAAAAATTCCACTCATTTGTAAATACATATTTTAACACGGATAATGCACACATTTTTTGGGTTGACTATTTTTCGCATAATCGATTTCGCACATTGCTGAAGAGTGCATATTGGTTGGGTTGGGTCAGGTTAGCTTAGGTTGGGATTAGGGTTAGGGTTAGGTTAGATCAGGTAGTTACGTTTAAGGTTAGGTAGAGTTACAATTGGAGTCAGGGTCAGGTTAAGAGTGAAGTAAGCTAGGTTAATGTAAGGTGTAGTACGATTAGGAACAGGTTAATTATATGCCCATGATTTAAGGTTATACCATGAAGAGAAAATTTATAATGCAAACCATGGTTGCGTTAAGGAAGAGAGATTGCTTGATTTACTTCTTTTTTTACTTTTACTACTTACTTTATTTACTTACTATTTACTTCTTCATTTTTTAAATAAAATTTATGTTTAATTTAGAAAAATAAACTTGTCTGACTGGGAGGTTGATTCAATTAATACCTTTTGAAATATAATAATGGGTGTCGGGGCAACAACGATTAGAGCATTGACATGGAGACTCGGGTTAAGGACTGTAGGGTTAGGGATTTTGATTAGGGTTAGTGTGGGTGGTTAGGGATTAGGTTACATATCCATGATTCAATTATTTTAGGTTAGGATTATGGACAGGTTAGATTTGGTACAGTAAGTTTTCAGGTTAGGAAGGATTCGGGATTAGTGTTAGTATGGTTAGGTTACACATCCATGATTTAAGGTTTTACCTTGAAGCAGAGAAAATATGAGCAGTTATAACGTTACTAAGAAATAAAAGTGGATTTGAAAAACTATGGCATTAGATAAATTGAAATTTAACTTAATTATAGATTCAAAAAATTGTACACTATGATATGTTTTTGTGGTGGATACACAAATTTTAAATGTAATTAAATATAAAATATAATTATTAATGCAATAATTAAAACAATCAATGATGAGAAAACCAAATTTCTAAATGTGCATTTATAGTCAAATCTCATTTTGCATTTTAACTGTGAAATCCAAATTATGTACTGATGTTTAGTTTTAAAAATTTGAATAAAGATTTTTGTAGTTTTAATAGTAATTACAAACATTAGACAGGCTAGTTTTAATGGTTATTATTAAACTACACTTGATTATCTTACATTTGGTCCATTTTAAAAAATTAGAGATAAATAAAACAGATAAAATATCACGCTTGTGTTTACAATTGGATTTTGTAAATAAATTTTTGAATAGACAATCTTTTCTTTGTTGGTTTTTAAGTTTCAAATATGTTTGAGTGGTGGTTTTAGGTATAGATACAGATTCGGCTAGAATCATAGCCTTGTTGGATGACAGACGAAGTCAACCATATGTGGCCAGGGTGCTTAACATTCCCAGACAATTGTCCAAAAGGTTCTCCATTGCCAATAGGAGGTTACTCAAGAAGGCATGGATCAGGTTGTCATCATGTCAGAGAGATGATCGTTTTAATGTTTCAAATGTACTCTGTAATCGACAATCCACCACTGTTGAGATCAAACAACTATTTCATATGCAAGGCGGAGATTTCCAAAAGCTGGAGTACATGCGAGAAGACCTGCCACTGGCTCAGAACTTCTGACAAGGTACAGAACAGCTCGGTAAGTTTCGCAAGGAATCACATCAATTGGTCTGAGCAAGATTGGACTTTAATTTTGTTTTCGGATAAGTCAAGGTTTAGTTTGAGGTCTTCTGATGGCCGAGAGAGGGTTTGGAGAAGAACAGGAGAGCGATATATCCCCGCAACATTTTCACTCTGGAGAATCTATGGTGGTGTTGTGGTTTGGGCAGGCATTTTTAATTGGAAACGGTTTTATTTTTACGCATGACAATTCAAGGCCCCACACAGCTAGGAACATTGCTAGTTAAACATTTGTAGTGGCCAGCATGTAGTCCCAAATTAAACCCTATCGAACACCTTTGGAAGGAGTTGTCAAAGAGGGTACAAAATCGCCCAGTGATGCCAGAGAATTTGCACGACTTAGGAATGGCACTGTTGGAGGAGTATGAAAATATTCCACAGCATTACATTCAAAACATCATAAAATCGATACCATGTCAAATGCAAGCGGTGATCAATGCAAGAGGAGGAAATACTCAGTAACGAATTGAATATTTTCTTCATTGTTCTTCATAGCAACATTTTTGGTACAATTGTTTTTACTCGGTTTAATTTTTTATTTAGCTATTCTTTAGAAATATCCAATAAACAACACAAAATGAAAATTATAATGATTGCAAGTATTTACTATTATTTTTTTTTTTAATAAAATTAAAAAATCAAAGGTGGACACTTTTTTTGCCTCTCAGTGTATTATAAAATTTAAAAATACACGGTGTTAAAACTCTCAATCTCAATATTGGTAATTTCAAAAGATTTAACATACCTTCAATGAATATGCGGCAGGGAACAAGGCATCTTGTGATGTAAAACCCGAATCCTGAGAAGAAACACTGCTCATGCCAAGGATAATTGCTCGCCCAATTGACTTAGTTGTATGCTAACACAACAACAATACTACACATGGTCACAGCAACAAATCAATGCAATTCTACAGATAAATCTTATAAAGCTAATCTTTTTTTTTTTAATTTACTTTATTCAATATTAGAAATAAGCAATAAAAATGTAAAATTTCATTAAAACAAATAATTTATTATAAATATATGATAGTCTTTAAATACTAATATTCATTAAATAATAATTTATCTCTTTCAATAAATAACTTAAAAATAGATTATATTTTAATTTAAGTATATAATTTCTTATTTCATGCTGATCAAAAGGTTAAAACAACTTCCTGTTGCTAGAAACAATGTTTGTTTGTTTTTTGGTGCAAAACAAATTGAAGAAAAGGTAAAGTGAAAATATACCAAGTTTTTTAGAAAAAAATAAGCAATTCTAAATTTAATCTCCAAGATACATATCCATGCATAGACACAAATCTCACAATTATTTCAAAACAATACAGCATAACAGAAATAAAGTGAAACAGTATGACTACAGAAAGTTAAGCCGTTTTATTTTTGTAATTTTAAAACAAAAAATAATCAGATGTACCTGAGATAAGGAACGATGCCAGTAAGGATGGCTTGGCGAATGGTGAGACTTAGAACTTCCGCTAGACGAGCTATTTAACGACGATATGCTACACATGCTTGATTTTCTTGAGCCAAGAGAGCCCGGGCTGCTGGGAGGAGTTTGAAACGTCCAACCTTCACTGCTTTTGAGATCACTAATGACCTGCAAAAAAATTTTTTTTTGTAAATAAGATTTAATACTTATTACTGGGTGACCTGGTTTATTTTTTCTCCACTTTAGATTAGTGTTACACTAGTATTTATAGAGAAAATAATTAAATGTCTTACTTGTTCACTTGCAGGAGGCAACGAATGTGGATCTGATGTGTGTTTTTCAAGTTGGTCAACTACTTCTTGTAAATGGGAAAGCTCAGAGAGCATAGCAACTTCCTCATCCTACAAATAAAAATTGTACATAACAGCATTAATTTTGTCCCTTGTCTGTTCATTAGTTACTGTTCCTAAAAAATAAAGTCAGAACAATAAAATTTGTTATAATAAAAAAATGCCCAATCAACACTTGCTCTAAGTAAGGGATATTATAAGGTCAAAAAGGAGGATGAAAAGATGGTATAACAGACACAAATCATTGTACCGGAATAAAATTATTTCCCATTTACATTTTAAAGAAATACTGAAGAAGAAACAATAAACTTTATTCAGAGGCTTGAAGACCTCTTGTATAGCAAAACTATATAATAGAACCTTATCTAACTCGTGTCTAACGGGTGGGAAGGATATAACCACTTCAAGCTAGAGTACATACTCATCATGTGGGAACCTCCTTGGGGAGTCCAAGGTAAAGCGCTTAAGTCTATCATCCAATTCCCCAGTGAGACCCCTGTACACAGAATAAAAGGTAAGGATCGTAGGAGGGAACGGGATCTAACCAGAATAGCCTGGGAATTTTCTACACCAACGTTGAGCCCATTTTCAGTCGCCCAGGAATTGAATTTAAGTCATCGTGAATTCTTAAAATTGCAGCATGTAAGTCAAAAAGTGGAAAGGAAAGGTAAATTTGGGAGTTGTCTGTATGAAGATGGTAGGAGCAATATTTATGAATTAGGAAAGTTGTTAATGTAGCACCAAAAAAGAGAAACTGAGACACTTGAACCTTGAGGGACTCCTGAAGTGATGGGCTGGGGAGAGGATGGGAAATTATTTGGGATGGATACTGATTGGAACGAAGCAAGGATGGAGTTCTCAAAATTAGAGGTGATTAAACAAAAATGTGCCCTTTTCTGGAAAATACGCTAGTTAAATTTTGCAACATCAGCGTCTATTAAACTTTTATACATTGTCTTAAGCCAGTTGATCTTTTGCTATCAAACTTTCGATTATTGTGTCATAGCTCCACTAATAGTTTTCCTTGATGATTATCTTTGAATATGCCAAAGTGTGTTGGAAAGATCAATTACAATTTGTTTCAGTTTTCCATTTTATATATACATAATTTTTTTTACTTTATTTTATTTATTTTTATCAATTTGAGGCTGCCCTTCGGGCCAAGCTTTCTGCTGGGCCAATGCCTCCAGTTTAATTGCAACCACATTACAGGCTTTAGTCCAGGAGAACAATTGTAATTTTACCTTGGTCAAGAGTCGTCTTATGTCAGTCAGATTTTTAGGACAGTAGTAGACTGTGTGGAAAAAGCAGGATGAAAACCAGATTGGAGTGGGACAAGGAGGTTTGATGTTTCTAAGTAAGAAGACATTTGTAAATATACTAATTTTTCAAGGGGTTTAGCAAGGTTTAGGAAGGATAATGGAAATTATTAGCGGAGGTGGTATTAGGAATTTTATTCAGGGGTTTCAATCACAATTGCCTGCTTTCTTTATTTTGGAAAAATATAATTAAATACTGTAGATATGAAGAAGGATAGGAAGGATAAATGGGATACATACTTTGATAAGTTTTACAGGTATCCCATCACTAGCAACTGCTACAGTATGAATACACCTATAATGGAAGTGAGTTGGGTAAAAATCTAAAAAGAAGAAACTATATCAAATGGAGGTCAGTTAGGAAGGGAAATAAGGTTATGGGGACCAGAAGGTTATGAGGCTGAAATAAAATGGACATTAAATTCATCAAGGGATGATGGGAAAACATGGAGAGCTTGAGATATGCTGCAGAGGGACAGTTTGCACAGAAAGTACAATAAAAAAGCACTAACAGAATTTATTTCTGTTAGCACTTCCTTTCAACCTTTTTTTAACCTATTACTAAAAAACTCAGTTATACTTTTATTACAACTATCAATTTACTTGCTTTCATTATTACATTTTGCCATAATAAAGTGTGTAAGTTAAAAAAATGATATACATTATATAATGGAACTCACCACTACTGGTTTCAAGAAAGCGACAAGAAGACAGTACCGGCTTCTCTCTTCGATCAGTGCCGATCTCACAGCTTTTTTCTCAATATCTTCCAAAACCTGCTTCCTTTCGTTCATGTCTTGCAGAGAACACTCGACTCTCCTTTGGAGATCACTGCCTTTACTACCTTTTTTCACTTTTTTCTGCAGTCTTAAAGTGTCAGTGGAACGTTTCTTAAGTTCAGTTCTAGCACGTTTGTAATCTAAAAGAACAATTAAAATGTGAAAAAATAAAACAAACTCAGTGGATATAAATTATTTTCTAACTTCATTAAGTGAATATTTTTCTCACCCCTACTATGTTCTTTGTCTAAATTTATAAGAACTTTTTTCCAATCTTCAAGCTTTTCTTGAAGTGGTACTACAAGGCAGTCCATAATAGCACTAAAACCAACACACAAAATCTTATCAAATGGATAAATTATAACATTTTAGTAATAGATCTTTTCAAGAATCTTATCTCTTAACAAACTAATTTAAAAATGAGGTGTAAAAAGTGGTCACCCTGACTTTTTTAACAGGTAGAATCATAATTTTTCTATTTTTTATGTGCCTGCATTGATTGTTTAATATTCAAACAATACAAAATTTACAATGCCTCATAACATTTCTTACCTATCACTGCTGTTCAAAATGAAGAAATGCTCTCTAACATAACAATTCTAGCTGAATTTGTAAAAACCACAGTGGCAAAAAAGTATTTTAAAAATAAGAAAAATAAATAAATAAATAAAAGTAATGAAAATATTGAAAAACATCATATTATTTATTTTTTCCACATACAACACATCTAAGTTAGTACACAAAATAAATTTAACAAAAAAGTAAACTAAGAGTGACCACTATTTTTTTTTCCTTTCAGTTTTAATTAATTCATGAATTATTTAAAATTTATTACCTAGTAAACGTCTTCATTCTAGCTTCTACAGCCTTATGTCGTAAGCATATCCTTGTTAATGCAGTACCAATTTCTTTAGTGGCTCCTAAAATAATAAATATGACATGTTTATTCAGAAAAGGTAAATGCTAAATACTAAATACCTCGGGTATTGGTAGCAGCATCTGCTATTTTTTGAAATGCGTCTAAGTAAGACGATATTGCGTTCAATGTTGCTCTGTAAAAAAATCAGTAAAAAGCCTGATTATTATTATTCCAAGTGATTTTAAACAAAAAAAAAATATATAAAAGAAACTGATAAAAAATCAACTTCATTACTTTTGAAGAAAAAAATACTTGGCTATCTTTTTATTAAAATCTATGTTATTGCAAGATCAATCAGTTAAAAGGTGCAATTATCATAAATATGCATGCAAATAATTTATTTGTTTTTACCAACCTTAAGCATGAATGAAGTTTTGTTGCTTTCACTACAAGATCTTCCCATAATGGTGTACCATTCTGCAAAAAAAAAATATAATTTTTTATTTGTAATAACAACACTATATATATTGTGGATAATTTCAGGGCCAGCACACCACATTGGTAAATGCCAGCCCTTTCCTTTGCTGTTTTTTTTTTCTGTCCTTTTTGCATTTTATTCCTATTAATTCATTTTATGGCACTACATCCAAATTATAATCATGTTTATTAGGGAGATGTCTCTCCCTCTATTCACTATATTCACACCCCATAGAACTCAATATTTTTTAGGATAACTGAGGAAGAAGTCGCTTCATTCATATTAATAAATTACTGATTATTTGGAGATCATGATATGTGATCTGGTGTGACATAGGCTTAGAAAAAAATTTTCTTTATCGTGCCAAAGACTGGATCTTTATTGTGATCATCTTCAGGGCTGTTTGTTTTCTATATAGATGTGTCATTATTGTGTCGTGTTGAGTGCCACACCAGACTGTACCTCACCAACTCCAAATAATCATTACTTAACGGTCACTAAACACCACACATTAATAAATTACATTCACACTGCCCCCATAGAACTCTATTGCTTGGGGTAATTCAGGAAGATGCCACTCCACTCACACTGCGCTATAGAACTCAACATTGCTTGAGGTAATTTAGAAAGAAGCCGCTCCAATCACGTTAATAAATTACATGCATACCCCATAGAACTCAATATTGCTTGGGATAATTGAGGATGAAGCCATTATATACACACTGCCCCATAGAACTCTATATTGCTTGGATAATTGGGGAAGAATCACCTCCATTCAAATAACGAAATATTTCATGTAAAATTTTAGAAATAGTCAATTCTACGCTATAATTATTAACAAGTTTTCTTTAACCACATAAACAGAGATATAAGTTTTATTTCTATTTATTTTTTTACAGCTACAAGAAAAAAATAAAGTTAACATAAATAATAATATAAAATGAAATATGTGCCCAAGCTACAGTAAAAAGTAGCTTAACCATAATGGAATGGCACCATGCCTGGCTCTATAAAGAAGTAAGCTTGCTGATATGGTATATCTTTCTTGAGCACAGCAACAAGTTACTAACCCTCTTCTTATTTTTTCTCTTTTTTTAAATGTAAAGAAAATAGTGACCATTTTTTTGTCTAAAGAACAATCTGAGTTAATGTATTTATTGGCTAAATATTACCTATTAAACCTTAGGTTGGTTATAGTCTTTGTATAAAAGGCGATGAAAGAAAACCAAGTAGTGGTGTGATTGGTGTATTATGTATATATTTGTGGTTAGGATGAGTTTTGTTTCTCTACTGCTAAAAAGCCCGTTTGGAAGTACGTTGAGTTCGAGGATATGAACCATTCTAGTGACGAGTCGTGTCAATGCTGTAACTGTTGCATCCTCAGAAGTCAGGATGATTAGAGATACATACATAATACACCAATCACACCACTACTTGGTTTTCTTTCATCGCCTTTTATACAAAGACTATAACCAACCTAAGGTTTAATAGGTAATATTTAGCCAATATATACAAGAGTAAACTAAAGGTTAGAGGTTAATGGCATTTCAGATCTCATCCGAAAATCTCACAATTAAGATACAATTAAATTTATGAATACATCACATAAATTTTGTCTAAGTTTATTTTATTATTATCATGTTTGAATCATTTTCGTTAAAATAAATGAAACCATGATGAATGAAATGAATCTTGCTATGATTATACTACTACAAAGGGATAATGTTACAAAGTATATTTATTCTTTCTATCTGATAGCAATTGTGATACAAAGTCTAACAAAATTCAAGATCAAATTTAAAAAAAGCCTTTTTTCCTTATTCTTTGTTTAATACTAACTAATTGAGTTTAAGTGTGTTTATTTGTGGCAACAAACAAAATTCCATATAAGTTAAACGGGTACAACTGATATTTCAACATTTATTCAACCTTTTAAGGAGTGGAATTACATGTACAAAATGAATAAGAGCAACAAAAAAACATTATTTACCATGAAATGTTCATATCAAGAAATATCTATGAAATGAATAAAGAAAATTTTTGATTTAATATATTCCAAATATTTTCAGCTCCAAGAGAAAAGGGCTGTGATCGTCTTATAGAATTGTTTCAATTTTAAATATAAACATGCAAAGACCCCCTTTTAATTTTAATTTTAACCATGGCTAAATAGGTTTGTTCTTTTTTCGTCTTACCACAGTTTTCTGGTGTTCATTTATATTTTTAAATTGACACACAGTGGATTTGGGTCAAGGGTTTTAAATAACTTGATATTTTTTAAAGTTCATTATGCATTTTCTTTTAATTCTTAATTTTTTTAAAATGAATCAAGAGCAGAAATGCTATCAATAATTTAGTTATCAAATAAATAGACTGTACTATTTAAATAAGATTGCAACTTTTGCGTCAAAATATAATTCAACCTTTACGATACAACTTAAACATGGTAAAAGTAAATTATTAATACTTAAAATAATTTATATAGAATCCCTTCGTGATGACTGTTGCTGATTTATAAGCATTATATTTAAGCTCAAATATGTGCACGCATGTACGTACACACATGTGTGTATGAGTTGAGCTTTTCTTTTCTCACAGTCCATCGGTAATTCGAGGTTTTGTGTAATTTACAATAAATTACCAGCAGGCCTCGAGAATCACACTCACACATTTCATCCCCCAACGCAATCAGTTCCTAGATCCAAACCCTCTCACACTCAAACTCATTCTTAAATACATTCTTTCCTATCTACATACAATTTACTCAGAGTGGTGAAGTACACGATATTCTTCCATCACTCTTTACACTTTGCCAACAATAAATGGGCCTACTTATAATAATATTGTTATAACTAACTTAATTGAGTGTCAACTCAATATTCTGCATCAACCCTCTCACACAACACATTTATGCTAATAAATACATTCACTCTCAATACATATTGGTGGCACAAAAATATCAATACTATGTACAATAAAACAACCCTGTTTCCTCCAAGGATCTGAACAGGGGATCAGATACTCATTGCCAGTCTCAAGAACAATACTCATATCGGATAACATTCCGTCTATATGGAGCCAAGGAATTTCATCCTTCTATTAGGTGGGACACATCGTGCAACCTTTCTCTGTGCCTGTCACATACGCGGGCTTGGGCCTAGAACTAAGCGTCTGTGTGTCAGCCTCACATGGCCTATTCTTATAGGGTGAGGATGAACTCACTTCAACAAATCAGAGGTCGAGGGACACTTATCAACAGTGATCTTGATATGTGAGTGCTTCTCTACTAACCCAGCCCACCGACGCTGCCACTTCTCTTAATCATGCTTTCTATTGCATATTTTGTGTCAGAGGGCCAGATTGCGGTGGTTAAGTTCGGCCACATTGTCCGCTTTTTCGTTCCTTTCCAGACCTATGTGTCCAGGTACTAAAATTCATTGTGTTTTTTGTTGAAATATTTATTTGATGTGGATGGTTTTTTTTTAAATTATTTTATTTTATTTATTCTCGAATTTTATATTTTCAAAATATGATGATATATTACGATATAAATAGTTATGCTTCTTATAAAAGGTTGTATATCAGCAGTCTGATCACTCATGATGATTCCTTGAACTGAAGATAGTATAGTACTGAAACATTTTATTTCCATACCATTTACCTATATACAATTTACATATTATCATGATATGTAGTGACAGTAAAATAGAATTCAGGAACAAAAAGAAACATACAACTCAAAAACTGTATTGTCATGCAAGACTGAAAGAGTTAATGATATTTTGTTTCATTGTTGCAAAAGATTAGATTAAATATGTTTAATTTTCTGTCATACATTTAACAATAAACAAGGAAGAAGAAGAAAATTTATTTATTATACTTTCAAAGCACAACATTTTCACTAATAGAACCTTATTCAGAATATTGTGGTTTTTTTATTTGCTATTGTTTTAATACTGCTAATCAACATTTCTATATCCATATGAGGATAGGTATTACCAAGAGGATAATGTTTCAGTTCATAAAAAAAGTGTCTTGAATAATTCGCTGTAAAGTATTAAATATTTTCTTTCCAAAGGCTGCAAAATCCATATTTTGTACATGCTTATTGTCCAAATTTTAGTTCAGTACTAGGGTGGCCGAAGCAGCACATAAAATTTGCACTGTGTTCAGGATGCAACAATGAGTGAGCGCATTGCCAAAAGTGGTACAAAAGAATGAGAATAATCGGACTGAAGATGAACAACGGTTTGGTAGACCTAATGTCTTGAATGACGATGAATTGGGAGAAGTTATCTTCCTCATAAATTATCCAATGGTAACAAATGTCTGTGTCTAAACATTTGCTTTTCATTGGTTTGACAGCACAGCGAAGACGTTTTTTGACCGGGTTGTTACATTCAATGAAAAATTGATCCTGTACTGTATTTAACAGTACACCAGGAGTCTTTAGCATTGGCTGTCACCAAATTTGTGTCTAGTGGAGTACGGCAGGCATTGTATGTTGCACGTGGCTAGACCATCACCGCAGAAATTAATTCAACTGTGTCAACTGTGAGTATCTCTTACTTGGGCCCAGAAACAGCCTGCTCTCATGAACAATAAAGGTATAAGTTTTCATCAAAACAAGACCTCATACAGCAAGAACTATAATCGGGGGAAGCTCAGTTGGGAACTCCTACAAGACACTGTACTCTCCAGACGTGGCTCCATCTGGCTTTCAACTTTTCTTAGTAACGGACAATCATATGTGCAATCTGGAGTTTGATAATCACCAACATGAAAATTAGCTGAATTTATTTATTTAAGTCCAGGGACGCAAACTTTTATAAGAGCATAGGAACTTGTTATTATTTTCCCTTAATTAATTTTAATTGTGACAGTTATTAAACCTGCATGAATTTTTCTGGTTACCTGGTATTAAATGAGAGAAAAGTTATATAATTATACACACCAAAAATCATGATTTGTTACTGATTATCAAAGGTGATGCTTTGACTTTGGTAGATTTCTTTTTTTACACTTTTTAACAACTTTTGGGCAGTGCGAACTTATTGTTTCATCACCGAACTCAGTACAAATTTTCCAAGCTGCCTTGGCCACCCTAAAACCAATTTTATACCCAATTTATACAGAAAGGACTCACGAATTACCGGTTTTGAAACATGCCAAAAAGCTGTAGTCCACAGGTAAATACAAAACTTTCTAGTACCCTCATCATCATCAGATCGATGAAAATTTGCTTCATATATGTTATTCACTATGGATGTTGCCAGTACTATTAAAAACCAGTATTTGTATGGCACTTGCAGATAATTGATCATGGACGGATTTAAGTGAGATTTGGGATTTGTAATCTCTGTTTTATGAATCAACCATTCTGAAATGCCATTTGTTGATAGTGGACATATTCCTAAGTGCAATATCTGATTTGTAGTGATTTCATTCCCTTCATAAACAATATCAGCCTTCTATGCTATTCAACAATGAACCCATTGTGTTCAAAATGAATAACCTATTCAGCATTGTCAAAAACCAAGAGATTAACAAAAATGGTATATAAAATTTTCTTTATTTCTTTAATAACCGAATTGAAAATTTGCTGGGTTCCTTTTTTTCCCTATGTGTCTACGTCCCTTTTATTACCTTTCCAAAATGGCTGTATTTCCGGGCAGATGCTTTGGAGTTACATAAAATATGTTCCAATCTGCTGCTTCATGGCTGAATCAGCTGGTTTTTTCCATTTTTACGATGGTAAAAAAATGTGCAATGACCAGTATAAAGGCCTCCTTGTTTCCACTATTCATTTTTAGATTTTTGTTCTTCCAAACTATTTTTAGCTGATTTTATTTGAAAGGATCTGTCACATTTTATTTTTACCCAAGCACTGGACAAAAGTGCCAGGCAAGCTAAAAGATTTATAAATCTCTTAAAAAGAAATGCGAAGGAACTTACTCTCCCTCAGCAGGCAAGATTTGAGGCAGAAGGGCTCTGAATTACCACCTAAAGAAGATGGGCAAAGTAAAGATAGAAACATGCTTAATGTAAAGAGAAACGAGAAACAGGACATACCCTTTATGTATTTGAGACACTAGTAAGTCTTATATAGTCAACTTCAGTGAGGTAATTTTCACACCAAGAGAAGTGCATAAAGAGGAGCCGTATAAAGTGCATTGTTCCATAATAGACCTACACGATGAAGAATATGGATAGGAAGTGTGATTTTATGTTCCCCAAGCAATGCAACTTTCTGGCTTATTGTACTTGCCTACTTCCTTAGTTCAGTGCAATACACTCAAGGAAGGTGAAAGAAAATCATAGGCCTCTATACTGGCCCTTGTAACTACCACCTAAAGATAAGAAAAGTAGAGTTAGAAACATACCACTCTGTCAGGAGGAACCAGAGACATCAGCACATAAACTTTGTGAATGTGAAGCATTATCCAAATTATGGTACAACCACTTCAGTAATGTGATTCTCACGGCAATAAAAGGTGCGCAAGGGGACGAGGACAGTACTTACAGTTAAAAGTGCACTACAAAGTGGAAGTCCAAGGTATAGTTGCCATTTATAGGGGTTCCACAAGAGATTAATATAGGTCACCAAAGAAAAAAGGATTTTTAAAATTCTTATTCGACCCCCAAGCCTTAGAAAAAACCTTTTTGACACCAAACTCGATCTATTGTACACTATACAAACGTTTTAATTCAAAAGTGTTAAAAATTCATTTTCTTCAAACCATTGATGGTCGTTATGAAGTCGACTGTCTCAATTTTAGCAGTATGGACCAAAAAGGGGATGACTGCATTTGATGAATTAAAAATATATACTTTTACCTTTACTTTACCCCCGAAGAGGTTTTTAAAACATTCCGTTAACCATTTTTTGACACCGAACTTCAGTCGATATTCATGTAAACAAACTTTTTAGTTGAAAAGTGTTAGAAGTTCATTTTTTTCTGAACTATTGCAGTTTTTATTTCAAAATATTTTGCAATGCATTTTATATTTTACACTCAGTTAAAAACAACACTCTAAAGGGTTATTTCGAATTAAACTATTAGTAAATTTGAACAGAGCCGGTCTGAAACGATAATGGGAATAAAAAATAGGAAAGATTACAATTTCAACATCTGTGATTAACATCTGATAATGTTTATTACATAACTGTCGTTATTACATATTTATTACTATTTTATTATAATATGTAATATGTTATATATATTATATTATTATTTAATACCGTGATACATGAAATCATTATATTTTTTGTCTTAGGACTTAAAGTTTAAAATTTCATTGTCAGAGTGGATGGGCTTTGTAGAGGGTGTCGCAATTTTGGCAGAAAGTCCAATTTATCTCACGTTCATGGGGCAGAAAAGTGCCTGGTCGGGTTGAATTATAAATAATTGTGCAAATTGTAAATCGCCTTCTTTGGGTCAAGTTTATTTTTGGAGTGGTTTGTTTTTTCGTTCGGTGTCACCAAGAAAATTGGACGTGGTCACGTTCGACAAAAACGAAACGAGAAAAAAAACGCGTCAAGCCGAATATGGAGCAACTCTGATGAGTGCGGGACTTATTGTATAAACAATCATTGAAATGAGCTCATGGTGGAAAAAAATCGTCGTTTGTTCGCTTCGAGTTTTACCTTGTGCGGTTGAGAGTTAAAATAAATTTTGCCTGTAATAAAAGAATAATAAAAAAATTAAAAAATTTACACTTACTTTCATATCTGTGACGATCTGGTTAAAGAGGCCGCCTAGAGCACTGTGCTCCCTTTCCATCCCACATCCCTCCATCGTAAAATATTCTTTATGCACTATTTGACGTTTTTGGACGAAAATTTTCCTCTACACGAGGACAGCAAGGGCGATAAACAACCTGTTCACTCGCGTCTTATCAGTCGAACCATAAAAAAAAACCGACCGAAAATTTTTTTCAAACAGTTAAGAGATTTTTGAAAAAAATCGATAAATAAAACCACATCATACGAGCGGATTTTTTTTCAGGCGGAAATCGATGTGGAAAAATGCGGGATAACTCATTCTACCAGAAGATAGTCGACCGAGCTTAGATCCAAAACTGAAAAAAACAACAAACACTCGATGGTAAACAAAGGATAAGCAGGAAATGAGACGAGAGGCTGTTTCGCATCCCCTCCGCTGCGCTACCAAATCATTAATTCTGTAAAGATTTCTCATTGGAGGAGCGAAGCCCCGGCCAATCCGATCCCGCCGTTGCCCATTCGATCGTCTCACAATCCCGGACGTAAATCTTCTCAATCCGTTCACAATGATTTCTTATAAATCGGCACCTCGAAAAAAGTCATTTTGACGATTTCAAAATGATTTAAAACGTACTCTACGTGCGTCTTGTCGGATTGACGAAACTTCTTTAACAACAAAACAACGGCGTGACGTCATGTTGCGAGACTTCTTTACACACTTGCACGTGCAATTGTACTTTCACACGCTTGGTTTTTTAGTATTTTTTTTTTCTGTACTATAATTTTATTTTCTAATTAAAACCTTCTTTTGAAAATAAACAACGATTCAGTAATACGTTTCATGTAATTATTTAGTGAACAAATAAGGTGTTACATTAAAACCCACAAAGTTACATTTATTCATACATTCAGTCAATTACTCTTTCACATTTTCAATTACTCTAGCAAAACTAGATCACCTGAGGACTGCAGAAAACACATCGCTGAAGGTTGAAAGATGAAGGCTCCTTAATATCTCAAAAAGTTAGCATCTGGTGTAGCTCCAAAGAGTAGTATTTGAAAAAAAAAAAATCAAGAAAATATTATTCTTGTAAATTTCAAGAAAAACCGAACTGAAAAGGGCAACGGAAAAAAAAGATTTCAAAAAGAAAAAATGGAAGAGAAGGGGAAAAATAAACAGCCAGAATAAGAAAAAGAAAAAAATTGTAGGCGTATTTTGGATTTTATTGTGGCTTCAGAATACCCCTGAAATGTTAAAACATGTCAGTTTTTGTAATTGATTTTGTTTGTCCACTTTAGTTAAAATTTGAGAACGCCACAAATCACATAAAAGCTACAAAAAAAGCATCCATATAGGAGTGTTTTCTGATTAACTAACCATTGCGTGCCGTGGAAAAAGAGTATCCAGCAAATTCTAAAAAATTGGTGAATTTATCAAAAATTGTGGTCAAAAAATGCAGGTTCATCACCTCGCAATCACAGAAGGGAATTTCACAATTTCTTAATTTACCTTGTTTTTTAAAATGTATCAAACGAAAAAACTACCCCGATTGAAATAAGAGCGAAAATAACTGTAGTAACTAGTAATTCCGTTGTATTTTGTGATGGTAAAGTGCAATGAAGATGTGAGAAGGGATTGTGTTTTGTTCGTCTAGGATCTTAGGCTTATGGGCTTATGGATCACCTTTACCTGAAATCGTTAGAAAAACGAAAATGAGCCTCGAGTGGACTTGACAAAATCATTAGAAATTGATCTTACTCCTTCGGAATTGCAGAATTTGTTATTGCGTAATTATAGCGTTTCCCTTTTGCCTAAGATTTTGAGGTGTATGTAACGTCTTTGGCACAAAAGTTGTCTTCATTTGTGATAACTAATGAATCTGCTTGTGAAGATTGTGCTTGGTTAATCTTGTAGAGTTCAAGAAATCCCGGATTGAAAAAGAAAATAGAAAAGGAAGAGTTGCAAAAGAAAATGGAAAAGAATTTAAAAATAAGAAAATGGAAGAGAAGGAGAAATAGAATCAGCAAGACTCTAAGACTGGAAAAACGAAAAGAAATGCTAGTGATGCTAATAATGAGATTGTGTTTTTGCAGACGTGCCAAAAAATGTTGGAGCTTGACTGAGATGCGATACACCACCCAGCACATCTCCATATACCTGACCTTATCCTTTCAGATTGTCTCCTTTTCTTCCACTGCGATTTAAAAGATCTATTATAGAATTTGCCCTTCTTTAATTCCAAACCTCGAAAAGTGCACTACTCTTAAGGTGATAATTATAAAGGCCTATTGTTTTTCTTAATTATTTCCTACTAAGAAAGAGTCTGTTAGTCGTAAAGTAGTCCGTAGCGTTTCTGCTTTTCCTGGTTTGTCAGTCTTTCGGTTGTTATCAATCCCCTCGTGTCCGGTATCTGATTATGTTTTTTCAGAAGCAGGAGGTTAGGCATTCCAAGACTAGTTTTGGACTGAAGGTGGAGTTTAAGGAGTTCCGTGCTGCTTGGGTGTCTAAGAATTTTATTTGTTATGTGCCCCTTTTGGCCTCTTTTTGAGAATTTCTTTTTTTGCTAGTGGTGCTAATAACAACACAGCTGATGATAATGGGTTTTTAACCGTTAAAGAAGCGCCAGAAAATGTGAAAGCTTAGCTGGGATGAGGGATCTATATATTTTAAGCGTGTTTCTTTAGATGCACTAATGGCTGAGAGTAAGCTAACCAATTTATGGTCCCTTTTGTCCCAGCATCTCTCCTTGCTTCTCTCACAAAGGTTTATTTATTCCTTTGTTGAATTCTTCCCTAATCAGAATAGTTAATCCGTTTATTAGTTAGTTAATCCGGATTTCCTGATGCTTTCATACTCGATGCTAGTTGAAAGACTGTGGTATTTATTACACCTTAGTGTATCTGGAGGTATTTCTCAGATTTTAAGCTTACTGTAGTATAACATAAATAATTCAATCTTAACCTGTTAAGTTTTGGATTCGCTGTTTTATTAAGGCTTTGTTGGCTAACCTTCATTTTTATTCTTAGATGTTAGAGTCTCCAATACCCTTTTTTCATCCAGCTTTGTCCTCCACTTTTTTTCATCAGTCTTTGATATGGAATGTTGGAGGTTGCTTTGAAGGATTCAAGTTAAAATAAAATATAGGGCTATCATCCTCATAGGTGGTAATGATGGTGTTGGGATGTATAGGAAAGTCAGCAGATAGATTGTATATAGAATGGGATAAAGCATGCTCCCTGGTGAGACGCCGGCTTGTATTGGTATAATATTTGAATATTCGTCGCCCGAACATCACCATGTTAGATTAGTTAGATACATTCCAGGTTAAAATAATGAGGAGTAAGTAGGCAGCGTTTAATTTTTACGCAATACCAAAGAATTCTAGTTGACGTAGGTCGATAAACGTCAACTAGAATTCTTTGGTATTGCGTAAAAATGTCAAAAATGACCTCAAGAAGATCCAATACAACATCAGTTCAATACCAAAGAATTATTATCGAAGGATGATATATCCTCTTTATTTTAATACCATCCAATTCTTGAGAGTAGAAGTTGGTTTATTCGTTAGATGGTTAATATTTCTCTGTCTTCACCTCTTTGTCTTTCACCTGCTCTAGGGGTTTTTGGATTGCGCCATCTTGCGCGCATGACATCGAGTTTCCCTCTTCGTGTAGTTATTTTTGTAAGTTATGGTGAAAGCCAAAAGGTTTGTTCATCTCCAACGAGGACGTAACTGATCTTAAATAGCCGATTTGCTAATTGTAATTTGAACTATAATAAACTGACTAATTTCGTGTCCTATCTTATGGGCAAATGGGTAATTCAAGATTGAAAAAATGAAGAAAAGTGGTTTTATTCGAAAAATTCCGTCATATAAACGGGGAAATCCCTCGGTGCATGTCTTTGCCTCTTCATTTCGTCATCTTCAATTATCCTTGAATTTTCTTTTGACCAAGACACGCCTTTGTGCGTTTTAGTGAAAGTCAAATGAAAGGGCGTAGCATTTGAGTACAAAGAACGATGTACTGTCAAAGGATGTACTGTCAAACCGTGTCTATTGGAATGGAATCTATGGAATTATTAATAAACACAACGATGTTTTAAAAAACTGACGAGGAAAAAAAGGGAAATGGCGTTATTAGTATGCTCATTATGTTTTTTAAATCAACGAGTTAAAATAAAAGAAATAATGAAAAATATTTATTAACTACTAAAAGTCATAAATGTAAATTTGTCAGCACTGTGTTTTAAACGAAATGCCAAAGATACATCATGCAAATTACACTTACAAGTTGAGACGTTTTAAAAATTATTCTACCACGTTTTTTCAATATAAATTAACATTTTGGATACACCAAGGCATTTAAGACATTGCAAAAAAAAAAAAAAAATGCCAAAGATAAATTCTGAAAAACAATTGTTACAGCGGAAAGCGAACTATTATCTGTCAGAAAGGAAAGAAGTAATCGGGCTTATTTCGTGCTGTACAATGACAGCGATAATGTCCAATGTTTTATCGTTCTTCCTCTTTTCTTCGGTTGCTTTTTAGCACTACAAATAAGAAAGAAAAAATACAATATATATTTTTTATCCTGTAGTTCCCATCGTTAACTTTGACACAGTATCTAATTATAGACAGAAGATTTAAATTTTGAGTGTTTGCTATATTAAGTTAAGTAGTTCTGGTTTTACTATTACTCGAAACCCTTGCGAAACAAATTTTTAGTACATAGAACATTTTTTCCCACTTTCCCTATTATTGAAAAGCTACTTAAAACGCCTCAGTCCATTTCTAGTTTTAAATAAAATCATTCCTACTCAACATTTCATCTTCCGTATTATTTATTACAGTTCACAGACTCCAAGTGAAATAGGTAGTGGTGGCCGGGTTTAATGGTTTTAACTTAGCGAAACCAGTGGCCCTACATCATCAATTTTCATAGCTGAGATGGAATTAAACTCTGTGCACAAGAAATACTCAAAAAGAGGCTAAAAGATGCACAGTTGTGCACAATTCTTAGATAGCCAGACAGTACTGAAGCCCTTAACACCACCCCCAATTCAGAGCTGGTCTTGGAATGCCTAACCTCAAGCTCCAGGGAAAAACGTTACCCAGTAACGCTGCTCTCGGTTACTATGCCTGATGCCACAAGTGGATTGATTGCAACGGAAAGGCTTACAAACTAGCAAAAGCAGATGCCCCTAAAGGATTACAAACAATTCTTAGAAAGCAACAGAGTCCATTAAATTCCCCTCCAATTCAAAACCAGTCTTGGAATGACTAACCTCCAGTTCCGGGGAAAAAGTAATCAGGTAACTAATGTGGGTACCATAACACGAGTTATTGATAGCAACGGAAAGGATACACAATTTTCAGACACCCATGCAGCCCCGAAGGTTTTAATAAACTTCTCCGCCTACACTTAAAAGCAGGTTGCATATAAATGTGCATGCTGCCTTAACCCTTTTGCGACATGCCAAATTGCCAAAAACATAGACCCATCATACAGCAAACTCTAGAGGTATATAGAC